GATGTTTGTGGATCCAGTAAGCAAGCAAATATATGAGACACTGGAAAGTTAGAGTTCTGATCTTTAAATCCATAGTTATGAAATCTCTCCTAGATTTTTAGATAATGAGTCAGAACAAGATGATAAAAAAATCAGAGTTATTTTCTAAGAGTGTGTGATCTATAGAGTCATACCTCCTGAGGTTGTCAGCTTATAATCTTTCAAAATTAAGCAGTTTGTAATTGGAAAAGAAATCTCTACAAAATACCTGCTCAAAGAGAAAATAACAGTAGGAAAGGGGCCTGCCTATTTAAAAGTATTATTTAGATTTTTTTTGCCTTCCTGAAGCAAGCTTATTCTAGAACACCAGAAAGAGATACTACTACCATGTTTAGATATAAGCAAGCAAGCTGAACAACTAGTAAAGGTCCTGGTAGTGCATTATTTTAGATAGAATGAAAGCCAAGGGAAATTTTATTTTGGGGAGTTATTATAGATAACCCCCTAAATTGTGAGTCAACATTTCTTGAGTTTTTTTTAGTTCTGCCACTAAGTGGTTGATTGACCATGGATAACTCAGTTGACTTTTCTGAACTTTGATTTCTTTATCTAGAAAATCAGACATTTAAAGTTATTTCTGCCTCTAAAATTCTGTAGTTTTTTCCTAGACACTTAATTCTTCCTTATTCTTGTAATGCTTCTCTGTTGACTCAGTGGATATTTATTGAGCATTTATGGAATTTGTTCTAGTACTGATGGTGCTGAGGATTTAAGTATGAGCTAAACTAGACACAAAAGTCACATATTATATGATTTCATTAATATAAAATGCCCAGAATAGGCAAATCCATAGACATCAAAAAGTAGATTAGTGCTTGCAAGGAGTCAAGGGGAGGGGAGAATGGGAAGTGATTGCTAATGGACGTAAGTCTTCTGGAATTAGATAGTAGTGATACTTGCAAAACATTGTGAATAAAACCCACTGAATTTTTATTTTTATTTTGGAAGTTTAAAAAAGAACTTCACAAAATAAAGAATGAGCTAGACAGACAGACACAACTTTGCCCTCATGTTAGCCCATGGTAGGGTGGGGGTGGATGCATAAATGCAACCATGAAACAGTATAAATCACAATGGGCCTATAACTCAGACCTGATGGTAGTGGCAAATCAAGAAATAATTCTTGACAAAATTAAACTAAGCCATGTCTAGAGGATGAGTAGGAATTAGAAATGGAAGAGGATGTTCCAGACAGAATGAATATTATAAAAGCCTGAAAGCTGGAGAGAATATAGTCCTTTAGGGTAATTAAAGTAGATAAGAATAGCTGATGTATAAGAGAGTAAGGAAAAATGGTTAGAAGCACGGCTAAGGAGGCAAGAGCTAGATCTTGGAGCCATGCAAGAAATTTGGATTTTATGCTGAGGACAGTGGGGACCCAGTGAAGTATTTCAGTCTAGGAAGTTATATAATCAAGTTTATAATTTAAAAAGAAAACTCTGGCTGCAATACAAAGAACAGACTGGAGAAGGGTAAGACCGATAACAGACAGGTGGTTGTAGCAGTCCAGGCAAAAGATAAGGCTGATTTAATCTAAAGCAGAGATGACAACATGGACAAAGTGAGGAGTGGACATTTGAGAAATACTAAGGAGACTAGATATAGGAGTGGTGGTAGTGAGGGGGTGGGGGACAGGATTGAATCATTGTTTTTAGGCGTGAGCACTTAGGCATTTGATGGTGTCATTCACTAAGCTAGGGAACAGAAATAGGTTTTGGGGTAGAGAATTCACATTTGAGAGTGTTGGGAACATCGAAGTGGAATTGTCTCATAGACAGAGGTCTCGATCTGCAACTCCCCAGAGAGATTTGGGCTGGGGAGATAGAGATACACACATACACACGCACGTGATTCATATATAATGATTATATATGAATCATATATATATGAATCATTAGAAGAGAAATAGTCATTGAAACAATGGGAATGTATTTGAACAGCCAGGGAGTGTATTTAGAAGTTAAAAAAAAAAAGAGCTTCTAGGACAAAACCCTGAAATACCCCAAAAGCTAAAAATGGTCTTGGAAAAAAGCCTGAAGGGAACAATGAAAAGGAACAACTGGGAGACTGGAAAAAACCAGGAGTTTGAATACTAATATAAGACTTTTTAAAATTAAAATGCCTTGTTACATATAATGAAACGTGTATCAGACAGTATTCCAAGTGTCTTACAAAATAATGACTCATTTAGTCCTCATAACAACCTTATGAAGTAGGTACTATTAATAATACCTACTTTAGCAATATAGCAAAATAAATCCTTATTTTACAGATGGGGAAACTGAGACACACAACTTGCCCAAGATACAAGTGATTTGTAGACTGAGATTTGATTATAGGTAGTTTGGTTCCAAAAGAGTCTATGTGCTTAACTGCTATGTTATGTTACTTCTCAAGATAAATACTTGCCTCAAGAAACGTTATAACAGCTCTGAAAAATTAGATATATAGTCTTCATTTTACAAAAAGGAAACTGCGGCCCAGAGAGATTAAGTAATTTGATCAAGTCACAGAACTACTAAGTAGTTCAGCAGAATTTGAACCCAGGTTCCTTAACTCCAAAGCCTCTGTCTACTGAATCATACTCCTGGTTATTTTTCTCTGTGTACATACATGTGTGTGTATAAAAGCTTAACTTTACTTATTTTGTAAATGTTAATTCCTCAGATATTTACCCAATGCTAATAGTGATTTGCTTTAAAAATCTTTCTCAAAAGCAAATGCCCCTTAATGAACAAAATAAACTGATGAGCAAAATAGAACCATAGACATAGAAACATGGAACAGACTGATGGCAACCAGATGGGAAGAGGAGGGGAATAATAATGGAAAGAAGGGGAAGGGACTAGTTAAAAAACATGTATGAATAACCCATGGACTTGGACAATGGTATGGGGATTGACTGTGGGAGCAGGGGGTAGGCTGGACAGAGGAGAGCATAGGAGGAAAAACTGGGACAAGTGTAATAGAATAACAACAACAAAAAAGCAAATGCCCTGGATGGCTCAGAATTTTAAGTGATAGTATTAATTTGATCCAGGTTACTCATATATTCCAAAAATATGGATGTAGTAATGCATTGTGTTCTAATTGACTGATGGTATTGTCAGTGCTTGATTCTCTAGAAACACCATCAGAGTGTCTTATTTATAATCATAGAGAAATGTTTTATAAACACCAATATAGAAAGCTATTTAAAAATCATTATTCCTGTAATTTATTGTCCTAAGACTAATAACTACCACTTTTTGATGGGCCAGAACTAGAGCTTAAACTCTTGTAGTTATTTTTCCCCGTTTTATTTCTTGGAGTTGTTAAGGGAGACAGTTGATATGCTGAGTCAGATTTGAAGGTTATACTCAGAAATGAAGGTTACACTCAGAAATGAAGGTTACACTGTGAAGCCTACAAAAGATACATTGGAATCTTTAAGGACCAAAGGAGTATTAGGTGGTTTTCAGTCTCATATAAAATATTGTAAAAGAGTGTCCTCTAGTGCTGCTCTGAAGTAACTTGAGAGAAATTAAATATTACCTGTTTTTTATCTGTGTCACCACTTTGTGACCTCAGATAATTCTGTCCTCTTTTATTTGCAAAATCTTTCAGAATCTTGCATTAATCTACACACAAAAACAGATCACAGGTTATCCTGGGTGATCCAGAATGGCATTTCTTTAAATGGATTATTTTACAAATATTTTAGTTAGAGCTGTATAAAACCTTGAAAAGAAGCCACAGTTTAAATTAAAGCCTTTGAAAAGTTAAAGGGAAATCCTCCCTCCCCCTCCCTCCTTCACTCCCTCCCTCCCTGCCCCCTTCCTTCCTTCCTTCCTTCCTTCCTTCCTTCCTTCCTTCCTTCCTTCCTTCCTTCCATGTTAATAAAGCAATGGAAGGGAAAACTAGATGTATTTTAAACGTTTTTTATTGTGGTAAAATGTACATAACATAAAATTCACCACCTCAGCCATTCTCAAGTGTACAGTTCAGTGGCATTAAGTTCATTCACAGAGTTAGACAACCATTATCACTATCCATTTCTAGAAATGTTTCATCATCCCAAACAGCAACTCTGTACCCATTAAAATTCCCACTCCTTCTAACCTCCAGCCTTTGGTAAACTCTATTGTACTGTCTCTATGAATTGACTATGGTTGTTATATAAGTGGAATCATGCAATGTTTTTCCTTTTTTCTTCTGGCTTATTTCACTTAGCACAATTTTTTATCCATGTTACAGCATGTATTAAAATTTCATTCCTTCTTAAAGCTGAATAGTTTTCTATGGCATATACCATATTTTTTAAAATCCATTCAACTGCTGATGGACATATGGGTTGTTTCCACCTTTTGGCTATTGTAAATAATACATCTTGGTGTACAATTATCTGTTTGAATCCTAGATTTCAATCATTTTGAGTATATACCCAGAAGTGGAATTGTCAGATAACACAGTGATTGTTTAACTTTTTGAGAAACTGCTATACTGTTTCCACAGCAGCTACACCATTTTACATTCCCACCAACACTTGTCATTTTCCATTTTTTTGACTAGCCATCCTAATGAGTATGAAGTGTAAATACTAACTTTTGAATTGACTTTGAAAATCAATTACACATAAAGTTACCTCAAGAAATTTTTTTTTTTGGTGCTGCTATATAGAAAGTACTGTTATACTCTGAGGGAATAACAAGGATGAATAAAATACACTGTTGACTCATTTGGTGATTTAAAATATTTGTCTCCCCCAAGTGTATTTGGTAACGAGTAAGGCAACTTCATTTTCGTTGGGTGGTTGGAAACTAATTCAGAGACTTCATGCCAAATTTATAGAAAATTGGTAGTGGAGGTCAAAATTAATTTCTTAAACTAATTTTTCCAAAGAATATTGTAGCAAGGTCTCTAATTGATTTTTTTTATTTTGCAGTTTAGTCTTCTTAAAAGAATCCTGATACATTACTATAATGGCCACTGCTCAGCTCTCTCACTCCATCAGAATTCACAAGGCATCTAAGGTATTTATTAAGAATTAAAAGAAAATCGATGACTATTAGTAAATTAGTTCAGAATCATGACTTTAATCTTTGGCATTGTTTTAAATCAGCAGTTTATCAGTTAATTAGCACAAAATTTCTAGCAGAGTATGTCTACACTTCCACTGCTTAATGGGCCAAGAATGTTCAGAAAATTAGAATAGATTTCTACAAAATAACTTACTGGGTGCTTGCTTCATATTTATTTAGACTTTTCTAGGGTGAAGGAAATCAGAAACAAAAATGATATTTAAAGAGAGCAGTTCTTTGTTAGACATTCACTTCCTGAAACAATTAGGAAACTTCTGAGGCACAACATGATGTAGTTTTAAGAACGGAACGGGGGGAACAATGAGAAAAACTTGGATGCTGAGACCCTGGAGGAGCATGTCAGGTCTAGGCAGCCTTGCTGGACTCACCTGGTCAAATTTATCTTGTCCCATGACATTAATTAATGAATTATTTATGTATTCACTGAGAGCTTAATATTATATAATAGACATCTAATACTGTGTTACCTTCTGAAAGAATAAAAAAGAGTCTTTATCTTCCAGAAGTTTATAATCTGGTTGAATTAAGATTTGCTTGAGTTAAGTCAATATATAAAGTAGCATGTGCATTACTTTATGCAGTATATATGAAAAAGAGTAAAGCAATACAAATTATAAGCATTTATAGATTTTATATAGACTGGAATAGTTTGTATATTCCTCATGAAGGATGTGAGACTTAAAGAAGATCTTGAATGATGAAAATTATTTGGATAGAGGAGAGAAAAGAGAATTTCATGAGGAAAACCTAGTGTATGCCTTGGCTCAGAGTAAAAAAAAAAAAATGAGCATGACATAATTGAGAGAATAATAAAGAACTATTCTTACTGGAGTGGAGTGTCATCATGTTGAACAGAAAGAGGAAATAAAATTAAATGGGAACTTTGAGGGCAAAATAATATGGATCTTAATAGCCAAGCTAAGGAATTTATGCCTTATTCTGCAGTCAATAGAAAGTCAGTGGGTTTGATCAGGAGAGTGAGTAAAACAATTGTTTCAAGAATATTAAACTGTAGCAGAAGTAGGAAATATTGAAGTAGAAGGAGAATTAGGGCAGAGAGAAAGCAGTCATCTTTCTGGCTCAAATTCAATATACTCACCAGGCAGGCTCCTGATCTCATTTAGTTTTCTAAGTGTGCTTCCTTCCTGGGAGGGGGAGGAATGCTGAGCTAAGTATATGAATTACTATCAGCTTGGCAATTATTTTTCTTCTGATATAAACAGATCTTTGTAGTTTGGACTGCATGAGCTACTTCTCCCAGTATAAGTGACTGTGATTTTGCTATTTAATACTTCCAAAAACAATAACTATAGAAGTTAACATTTACTCATCACTACCATGTGCTGGGCACTGTGCCAAGGGCTTCATATTATTATTTCAATTAAACCTTGCAATAGTAAAGAAACTGAAGCTCAGAGAAATAAAGAAACTTGCCTTAGGTCATGGAACTTGCCAGCTAAACTGTCAAATATCACTTATGTCATTAGCATACTATCTTACCAAAATAATTTATAATAGTGTTGTTTTATTATCAACCGATAGTATTTTCATGTATTAGACATTTATAAAAACAATGATAGCTCTTAAAGTACTAGACCAGCTGGGCTGAGGAAAAAAACCCTGGTGTATAGAGAAGTAACAGATCTCCGGAGGCCTCTTCTTACCATTGATCTTATTTGCTACAAATAGATTTTAGATCCTATATTTAAAGTAAACATCTTTATACTTTCAAGTTGCTTAATTTTATAAATGATTATTGCTCAAGTATTGCCTCTAAGTTTGGCATGCTTTAAATAAATTACTATATATGCATGCCATACCAGCTATTACCGAAAAGCACCTTAATTTTTCAGGATCCATGGGTACAAATATCAAAGAGCAATTTTTTATAAAATCTTATACACATACATTCACACTCATACCACATACATTGAAAATTCTCATTCAGTATCAATATTTCCTTCTTTCCCTACAGCTTAATGTTCCTGAAACAATTATTTTACTTATTTACTTGATAAAACCTGCTGACTTTCCATTGATTGCAAAATAAAGCATAAATTCCTTGGCCTGGCATTTAAGGTCCACATTAATTTCTCCCCAAAGTTTTTATCATAGCTTCAAGAGTAATACTTTCATTATATACCTTTCTTTTTTAGATTCTGGAGGTGGTGGGATTGGGGAGGGGGGCATGGGAGAGAGAGAGAAAGGGAAAAAAACATCAATGTGAGAGAAACATTGATCTTTGCCTCCAGTATGCAAGGGCCAAGGATGAATCCACAACCTGGGCATGTGCCCTGACCAGGAACTGAACCTTCAACCTTTTAGTTTATGGGACCGACACCCCAACCAATTGAACCATACAGGAGGGGGTGGGAAATGAGGCAGGAGAGCTAGGCAAGGATGAGATTTAGATACATAATTCTCAAATGTCACTCTAAAATACTTGAACTCTATTCTGTATTTACACTGGGAGTGTCATGATGGCAATATGAAATACAGATTGAATAAAAGGAACTGTTGGCAGGGAGATCAGGAACTGCTTCAGTGATAAAGGGGAAAAGTGACTATGTCCTGAGCCAAGACAGCCACAGTAAGAAGGGAAAGGAGAAAAGAGATTTAAGAATTCTTTTACAAAAAATTAATAGAATTTAGTGATTGGTTATGGGGTATGAAGGAGAGAGAAGCCAGGTGATTCTACTACTGTTCTGGGTGACCAGAGTGATGCCGATTCACTTGAGAATGGATCTTGAGATCAGGTTTCAGTCAGGGATGATAGAGATAAACTGAGTTTGAGGGGGTCTATAAAGTGGTCTAGAAGCAGATGTTCAGAAAATAGAAATATAAAAGTGGGGCTCAGGACAGAAATGAGTATTAGGCTACAGCTATGGTTGAAGCAGCAAGACTAGACGAGATGACCCAAAATGAGAGAGTTTTTGAAAAGAGTAAAGAACTGAAGACAGAATCCTGGCATGGGACCAATATTTAAAAGGCAGAAAAACTGGAAAAAAATAAAAGAGACTGAGATATATATGGAGGGATAGGTGAAAAATCAAAATAAAATAGTGTTAGGGTAGCTGAGAGAGAAGAGTGAGAGTATAGGCAAAAGTGTCAAGCTCTGCAGAGAAGTTACATAGCATGAGGACTGAGAGGAGGTGGATGACAGGATGTGCTTGGTGACTTTGGAGCAAATAATATAGAACAAATGGAAAAAAAGACAGATGACAGTGGGTTCTGAGGATTGTGTGAAAGGGAAGGAGATTATATAATTATAATTAAACTCCAGTTTTACCTCAAATCCATGGATCATTGTGAGATAAATTATATTATTGAATAGTTTTAAATTACTTAGGTAGCTCTCTGCCTTTCTCCTCTGTCTTACCTGTGGAGATCCAATGTAATGCAATATTTAAAGCCTGTTTCCTTTTGATTACTGTAAAGGTACTGGATTTGAAGTCTTGAAAATATTTTCCATCATATGTGTGGTGACAGTGTGATGGGCTGACTATTACCCAATTACCCAAAAGAACCTTAATTTTTCAGAATATTAAAGAATACTAATCTTCTTCATCTTTGTTTTTCTTTTTTCCAGGAAACAATTTTCCCATCCCAAATTACTAATGAGCATGAGTCATTGATAATGGTGAAGAAACTTTTTGCTACTTCTATCTCATGTATAACATATTTAAGGGGTCTGTTTCCAGAGAGCTCTTATGGAGAACGCCATTTGGATGGTAAAGTTTAAGTGGTTATTTCAGCCGTTGTAGCTCTTTTCTGTATTTGGCAGGAATAAACCTTTAATTTCTCAGAGTGTCCTAATTCCAAGGCATGGTCCTTTTTTTCAAGAACAATTTTCAATTCATTTTCCATTTAAATTTCACAATGTTTAATGGTTTTACTTATAGGAACCATTTATTCCTGGCTAAATTCCAAATGACTGACTGAGAAGAACAGAATTCTGTGTGGACAAGCCCAATAATTCTAACCTATACCTATAAAAGCAGCAGTGAGATCAAAATCTATTTGGATGCTATGGGTTTGCAAATTTTTGTACTTCAGTTGAATTTGTTTTTTGAATTATACTTTGGCATTGAGAAGCTTCATAGATCCAGGTGAAAAACTCTTCTTCCTGTTAACATATATGTAAATATGCTGGGAAGACGCTTACTCATGCCAAACCCAATTGTTGATTAACATGGATATTTAGTCAGCTTTGGTCTATTCTCAATTACCAGATCCTCAACTTTCTTTTTGTTTCTTGTGCCCTTAAACATATCTCATTTTCTTATATTACAAACTATTTCTGGATCCTTTCCTTCTCTTGCATTAAAAAAAAAAGTACCTAGGACTGCTCAATTTTTCAAAATCTTATTATTTGTTTAAAATGTGGATTATGGTAACAATTCAGAAAATCTTGCTGCTTTGTTACTACAGTGGGAGCGACCATTTGAAAAATAGAGAGCCACAAGTGTCCTTGTAACATATTTTTTAAAATCTAACTTTACTTTCAATTTATCATATCTGCATTTAATGATTTACTTTGGCCTCATTCCAATTTAATTTTCTTAAATATTTGTTATTCTACAGGAGCATCAATGAAATACATGTATGCCATAAACAAAAAAACATGATATTTCTAATTATGAAAACCCCACTTGTATTGTGTCCTTTTTTAGTTTATTGGATATAAAACTGTAATAGTGAATATGTTTATATATAGCACATAGTTTTAGTTTCTCCTTTTGTTTGGAACATAGAATTGGAAAAAGACATGTCTAGGGTAGATAGTTGTTAAAAATAATTCATCTGAGTAAATTTGACGAGCTAATTGGCTTTATTTAACAATTCATAAATTGAGCAGCATTCCCTCTAGCAACTAGAAGGGCACCTTGAAGGGTTGTACAAAATGGAAGCTTTTTACAGGAAGAACAGTGGAGCAAGGAAGCTATTAATAAAAGAATAGATTATTTTTGGGCCAGGACACCTTTTCTTTGGAGGAAGATAATGGGAAGGGTTTTTATCATGCAGATTTTTGGAGCTGGAAAGAGACCATAGTGGCATATTACCTGACTGGTGCTGGAACAGAAAATTTGATACTGGTTGATTAAGATTACATTTCCCATTTCCGGCCCTGACCAGTGTTGCTCAGTTGGTTGACCATCCCCATTAAGTGAAGGGTCACTGGTTCAATTCTCTGTCAGGGCACATGTCTGAGTTGCAGTTTCAGTCCCTGGTCGGGATGTGTACAGAGACAACTGATTCATGTCCTTGCTCACATTATGTTTCTCTCTCTCTCTTTCTCCCTCCCTTCCCTTCTCTCTAAAAATAAATAAATAAAATCTTAAGCTTACATTTCTGGGAGAGGTTGAAACTGCAATTAGATATGGTATTAAATCTAGGTTTGAAATTATGGGCTTTTAGCATAATTGACTTTATTTTGAGCCTGTGGTTTTTTCTTTAACATAATTAAGCACTTACTGTGTGTCAGTTATTACCCTAGGCATGGCAGGGTTGGGAGGAGGGAGGAGGTAATACTATTCCTATAGCTTTATTTTTTGTGACAGTTTATGTGGAAGTCACATGTGTCGCTCTCTCTTAAAGTAGCATACATCATAAAAATGCTCAATACTTCTATGTTACTCTCTTTTTTTTGTAATCTAAATGTTATAACAACATGGAATAATTTTAATATCCTTCTATAGAGGTAGAGGTGACATTTAATTTAAGGACAGGAAACAGTATAAAAAGGTGAAGTGACTTATACAAAGTAATACGTGAATCGGTGATTGATTTTGGATTGAGCTAAACCAAAACTCTTTTAATACAATTTTCTTTTCTTCCTTATGTTCACATAAGAATATCCAAACCTGTGGAGAATTTTTTTAAGAGTTTATTTGAGCCAAACCGACACCATGCCAGGAAGCAAGATCTCAAATGCTCTAAGAGAATCAGTTTTGCAGCTTCTTTTACACATTTGGAATTAAGGAGGGAACATAAGAAAGATTACATGAAGATGGGAGAAAGCAAGACAGAGAATTTCTGTGACTGGATTACAGGATAGTTACCCACTCTTGAGGTGGTTAGGGCTAAAGGGGCCAGAAATAAAAGGATTACTCTGGCATTTCAAAGGTGTGTTAACCTAGATGCATAAGAACAATGTGCAGGGCTTGCTTAAGGCAAGGATAAACCTTTTATTAAAGATATTATATGGCTGGGGTGTGACTACTCATCATGACTTGCCCAGTTAGGAATTTATGATCAGATCACCCTGTTGCCAGTGGAAATGAGGTTCTTCAGATGTTGCAAAAAAATCATTTCAGGGACCATGCATGGGAGGATTAGTTGTAATGGTAAGATTTATTGAAGCTGGAGCAAACACAAAGGACTGTCCCCAGGTGCCCTGAGTCTGTATCGCTTCCACAGCCAAGTGGTTCAGCTCCATCCCACTGCAGAAGTCCTATCTTGTCTTCATCAAGCCCAGAGGAAGGACCAACGTCCAGAAATTCTGCACCATTAGTTCATTCCATCCCAAAGCTTAGTCCAGTTCAGTCTGTGTCTATCCGACTGGTTTAGTCTCTGTTCCTGGCTGTGCTCTGGCCAATGCTGCATTGCTGTACCCAGGCTTGCACTTGGAGCCACACTTGGACCTCACGCTTGGGCCCATGCCACTGCTATGGAGAGAGAACATGAGAATGAATGAATAAGTGACTGTGTATTACTGAGTGAGGCCTTTGTTAAGCTTTGATTATATTATGTTGGGCTTGGGGAAGACTAGGTGCCCTTTCAAACTAACCAATCTTTTTCCCAATTCTTTGTGGGCTTGTGCTGGGCCCTTCCCCTAACCAATCCATTTTCTAGATCTTCCAAGTTTCTGTGTCCCTTATCCAATCCGATCCTTTTCACAGGCTAGACTAACAGGCCTTTATGGGTGCCATCTTGGCTCCCCCTATTCATGTCTCATAGTAGAAGGGTGTCCCTTTGCACCACCTTGGCTTCTATTGGGAATGTGCCCAGCAGAGGGATTTCCCCCTTATTGTTCTATATCTACCCCGCCCTCCCCATTATTTCCCTGGGGAGATTGAAAAGCTAGTCCTGGAGGGATGTTAATCCTCTTGGCAGGGCAATTCAGCTATTCCCTGGAATGTGTGAAGCTGTAGCTTTCGATCTAATTAAATTTAACCAATTTTGCTCCCTTCTCTTTTATTAACATCTATGTACCTATGCTAACAACCCTATGAGACTACTTTTAATTGCTGGACTTGTCAGATGTATTACAGAGCCTCTACACCTAAGGCAGTTGAATTTCAGGTGGATATTAATATGTGAGAACAATCCATGGAAAAATTTTCTTTCTTTTTTTTTCAGTAAGAGAAAGAGAAATATCAGAGAAGTGACTTGATTTTGAGGTATATGTTTTAAATTAGAGATGATCTCAATACTACCTTATAATTATTTAGAATTCAACAGAAGCAAAGAAGTGACACAAGTTGATTTCATAACCAGTTGTGCTACTGTAGGGAATGAATTTTTTTTCTTCTACTCTTTTAAATTCCTTGAATTATCTAGTAATTAAGTTGACATAAGGCAGATTAAAATGAGAAAAACAAATTTAATTTTGTACATACTGGAGCCCCATACAAATATGAGACCAAAGACAGTCAAGCAATTGAGGCTTATATGCCATCCTGAGCTAAGGAGTAGGAGAACAGCCTGGGAGTTTCAAAGGACAGGAGAGCAATTCACAGGAAGGTAAGAGGAGCAGGTGTTTGGTAATCAGATGTTTTCCCTGTTATATAGATAAATCTTTCAGATAAAAAGTTATCTCTGGTAATAGCTCTCTTTCTGGGCCAGGTCCCATATCTAAATTCTTTTTTTTTTTTTAAGATTTTATTTATTTTATTTTTAGAGAGAGAGGCAGGGAGGGAGAAAGAGAGGGAGAGAAACACCATTCAGTTGCCTCTCACAGCCCCCAGCTGGGACCAGGCCCCCGCAACCAGGCATGTGCCCTGACAGGGAATGTAGCCAGTGACCTTTTGGTTTGCCTTTTAGTTTGCAGGACGATACTGAACCCACTGAGCCACACCGGTCAGGGCTCTAAATTCTTTTAGTCAGTAAGGAAAAGGGAAAAGTTTACCTTGAGTCAGCTGGGTCTTGATTGCTGTCAGCTCCAAATAATCCATGGGCCAAATTGGCAAATTTTGGGATGTCATATTTTGTTCCCCTTCACTACATTGCATAAGAGTAGACTACTAAACTATAATCAAAATTGGAACTAACCTAATTATCAATGTAGGATTTATTTTTTGATTATTTAGAGGTTCCAAAGGTTTTTATAAGCTATAAAACTAAGTTGTATAAATAAATTAGTTGAAGGAAATGCCTTTGTTTAGGATGGACAATTTTAGTACAGCAGTCATTTAGTAGATGAAAACAGACTATGTTTGTATTTTTGTAGACCTCAGTTTAAAAATCCTCCGAGAAGATAAAAAATGTCCTGGGTCACTGCATATTATCAAATGGTAAGTAAGTGAAATTTTACAAAAGTTCAGCATTATTTTTATCATGACTGAAATAACTCATAAGACTTTATTTAGTAACATCATTTCTTTAATATGATTTCTTTCTATCTTTTTAAATTCCTAAAAATTTGTAATAATTATTCAGTATTAAGATAATGATTTAGTGTTGTTTTTAAAGTAAATGGACTTGTATAAAGAAAGGAAAATACCAATCAATATTTAATTACTCATCATAAGCATGTCAGTGTCCTAAACATTATGGACACCAACAAGAAAAATAAGATGTGAATCTGTGCCTCAAAATTGCTTACCTATTATTTATAAATTTCTATTAACATATTAAAAGATACTGGGATTTTTTTTAATCCTCACGTGAGGATATATTCACTGATTTATTAGGGGGTGGAGAAAGAGAGTTAGGGAAGGAAGCATTGATGCAAGAGAGACACTTCGATTGGTTACCTCCCTTATGTACCTTAACCAGGGCTTGAACCCGCAGCCTAGGCATATGCCCTGTCCTGGGATCAAACCTGCAACCCTTTGTTGTACAGGACAACACTCCAAGCAACTGAACCACCTGGCCGGGGAAGAAGATACTGAGAGTTTTAAATAATTGATTAAATGGGAATGGTAGATGGTTATTGATTTAATGTAATTCAAAGCAAAATATGTAAATCAATTCTGTACTTGAATTACTTTTGGCTTTGCCAAGTTGACATCAAACATTTATTTCTTGACAGGATTCAAGGTTGTTTTGATGCTTTGGAAAAGAGATACGTAAGAATGTTTTAACATTTATGCTAGGATCAAAGGCTCATTTTTATCCCTTAAAAAAAGTTTAACCTTTATTTTGTTGCTGCATTTTAACAGTATATCAGTGCCTGCATTTGCATTCATAAACTAATTTCATTTTATTATGTCTTTGTTGTCCTATTGCTGTCTCATTTACATCAATTAGAAATGAAACCCTCAGTTTTCACTTTTACATACTCATATCTTTTGACCACAGAATTTCCTCTGAAGTCACTGGAAGAGATCCTCAGGATGTGGAAGAGGGAGACAAGAGTCTGGCATTTAGCGCACTGAACATGTTCAAAATAATGACGATTTAATTTGCAGATATAAAAGGCAAAAATGAACTTGAATAATCCATTTTTATGTTATTTTGTTAATTATGTTTGGTGCATATATAGAACCTGTTTCCTCAAAATAACTAGTATTGTAGCTCAAATTTTTTAGAAATGCAGCTTGAATTTTAAGTGCATCAAATCTTTCTTGCTGCCCAAGACAGCTAAAAGTGTGTAAAAATGGAAGTTCTAGTCCTAGTTGAAGAGAAAAGATATACATATATACACTTTCTATCACTGCTTCCACCACTTTATCTCCATCTGTGTCTTCTTTTTACTCTTTCTCAATTTCTATTTCTTTAAGAAATCTTGAAGTAAATAAGTCTTACATTGGATTATTTAGTTGCATACATACATTTCCTTTTTCAGTGAACTGTTACTATTTCTGATTTACTCAACACTGACCTGGGGAACTGTGGGATACAAAAATAAAACAGATGTGGGATTGTGCACTTAAAAAGTTTATAGACCATGGCAGGAGATAAATGATATTCATATGCATGGCTGGTGATCAGTTATTACACACTGATCCAGCTGTACCTTTTAAAATTTCTGTATCAGGTGGTGCATAGCTGCTTCTCTGAGACTCAATGACTCCCATAATGGCCTCCCTCTCACCCCACCAGTAGCTCTTTTGGGATCCCCCCAGTAAGCTTCACCATCTAGCAACTAAAGGGTTAACAACCTAGCCCAGGGGAGCTTCCAGAAACCCAGCCCCAGGGCTAAATTCTCATCCTTTTGATTAGTCAGCACCTATGCCATATTGGGCTCTTAAATATTTTTTTTCCATTTCATATTTTAACTATCACCTCTATCATAAATATAAGTACCTATAATACTCATTAGAAAGTGATGGATGCCAAAGGATTGTGTGCAATGGAAGTATGGAAAAGGAAGGGTTATATCCAGTGAGGGGCAAGAGGGAGATCTTCGGGAGAAAATGACTTTTGAGCATTGAAAGCCCTTAGAATCTGGATAGGTTGAGAGGGGGAGAAGATCATCCCCAGCATACTGAACAGTGTCATTCTTCTTCATCCATTCATTTAGCAATACTTCCTGAGTGTCCATCATTGAGGGGCAGAACAATATAGTTAAGACCTCGAGTTTTGAAATAAGACACAGTCTTAAGTGAATCCCAGTTTTGCCACTTGTGGACCTAAAAACATCCAAACCTGTAGAAAAATTTGATGAGAGTTTGATACTAAGAATAGCAGTTTTTCAGTTTCTTTTGTACATTTGAGACTAAGGAGGGAACTGAGGGAGGTTACTTGAAGGTGGGTGAAAGCAAAATGGAGATTGGATTACAGGATAGTATGATTTTGTGCTCTCCTGAGGGTAGTTATTTCAAACGTGTGTTAATCCTAGATACACAAAAACAGTGGACAGGGCTTCCTTAGGGCAAAGATAAACCTTTTCCTAAAGAAGTTAAATGTCTGGAGCATGACTATCCACCTTGCCCAACTAGGAATTTATGATCAAATCATACTGCAAGGTTAGTTTTTGTAGAACACCTTTTTCTGTCCACACTCTTAATACCTGTATGACCTTGGACAAATAACCTACCTCTTAGTATTCTAGTTTCTTTGCATATAAAATAGGGATAATAATAGAACTTAGCTCTTAGGTTGAGAATTAAATGAGTTAATCTAAAGCAGTGATTTTCAAATGTTAACTTGCATCAGAACCACCTGGAGGACTTTTACAACACACATTGATAAGCCCCACCCCAAAATTTTTGATTTGAGAATTTGCATTTCAGACAAATTCCAGGTGATACTGAAACTGGTGGTCTAGGGACCATATTTTGAGAACCACTGATGTAAAATGTTTAGAGCATATCTGGCACATGATAAGCATCACGTGAATGTTCTCTTCTTTCTCTCTCTTTTCCTCCCCCTCCTCTCTCTTTCTCTCCCCCACTCCCTCCCTCCTTTCTTACCTCCTTTTTCCCTCCCTTGCCCATTCTGTGCCTGACAGAAACCTAAGTCTGATCATGTCATTCTTTTGCCTAAAAATCCCCCATGGCTTTTAAAACAAAGTTCAGAATCTATCATATGATCTGGAAGGCCGGTATGATCTACTCTCCATCTGCTTTTCCAAGGTGTCACTCTCACCATTGTTCTCTGTGTTCAAGCCACACAAGAATCTAGAACATGCCAGGTGCCTTTCACCTTTCTACATATTGTTCCCTTTTGCCTGGAAAATTCTCTTCCCTACCCAATACCCTTTACCTGGCTAACTCCAATTTATCCTTCAGGTCTCAGCCTAAGGTCTCTGCCTAAATATTTACTTCCTCAGGGAGGACTTCCCTGACAGCTCGCTTCCCCTAGCCTATATTGTCCCTGTTTAATATTCTAAAACACCCTGTGCTGCTGTTCCTTCATAGCAATGAACACAATTGACACCTATCGGTGTGATTTTTTGTTGTTGTTGTTTAACATTTTCTTCTTTGCTGGTCTGCATGTTCCATGATCAGGGACCATGTTTATTTTTGAATGAATGAACTTTTAATTAAATAGTTGATATAAAATAGATTTGCACTGTGTAGTCTTAAAATCAGTTGTATGCAGTAACCAAATCAGCCACACAGTGTCACTAAAGTTTTAGTCCTTTGGGTGAAATAGGTGAATAATTTGTTATGGAATTGTGGTCCTGATATTTTCTCATTTATATTCTAGTTTTAAAAAATTTATCATAGACTTTATTATATCTCTATCTGTATATATATTTAAGCAGAGAGAATCTGTTTATAGTAATGGATATATATAGGGAGAGCAAGGGTTTTATAGATCTGTATAAGACAAAATTTTTTACTTTAGTAGATAAATTTCAAAAGGCACATTTTTAAAAATACTTGTGGCATATTTAATTTTTAGTAACATAAATTATTTTTATATCTTTTACCTCCCAAACTATGATATAACTTATAGAGAATAAGTTATTTCCTTTTCTTTTGTATCTTTCCTCTCCCCAGCAGAACCCTGGGTGTGTAATAGGCACTCACTTGAATGAATGAATAATTAGTATCCCTTTTTCTGGTCTTCTGCATGATATTTTTTTCTACTTAAATCTTTGAAACCTCTCTGAAACCAGATTTTACTTAACCTTTAATGAAAATGACAACAATATAGGTGCAAGTATATAAAATATAACAACAGTTTTTTTCTCTTTAAGCTACACATGGCAGTACTTACAGTAAGTACACATTTAAATACCAGGCCTCTATCTCTACTTCATTGTCTTTTGAAAAGTGAAATATTGAAAGAGTACTCTCCCTCTGCCCTCTTGAATTTATTTATCTGTCCTATGACATCTAGTAAATACTTATGACAGAAGTTTTGGTAAAAGACTACAAGCTATGTATTTCTTTGGTATATTATAATGCATGGAAAAAATACATAGAAAATGCTATCTGCTTCATCTGTTGGCTTATCAGAATTTCATTTTATTTTTCTTAGTTACTTTACAGATTGAAGTTTTATAGACTTTTTTGTAGTTTTAGATACTTCTGGGTATAACATGGTGAATGTAATTAAGAAAAGAAAGAAATTATTTAGAATTTATTTGTAGTTCAATAATCATAAATACCTGGTTATCAATGTCTTTATAGCCAGTGTTTACAGAGTACTCTAAAGACTATGTTTACAAAATGAGCTTATTCTATCTCTAGCTTGAACAATATATCTTAAGATACTTATCTCAGTACTCAATTAATATAGCATAAATTGAATTCTTCACATAGAACATGTATTCTGTGAGGAGTAATCTAATATCTTTCAGAAATTAAATGCTGTTTATTTTTCCTTAAACAGCTTTACGCAAATCCCAAGGAACCTGAGGTAAGAGCACACATAGAGATGGACAGTATATGTACATTATATTTAAAGATTTTCACCTAAGTTGAGGCCATGCATTCTGTTACTAGACTATCATATGAGCAAAGTAACTCGTAGTGAGCTCTTTCAGTGTGTTTTATTATAAACCACCAATTTTTAATTATGAGATTTAAAAAACTATTTAGGGACATTGAAAAAAGGGCAGTGAATAGAACTAAGCCTATTCTCTAACATGTTAACATTAAGCATCTCTGCTTGTATAAAACCACATTTTATATATTTTAACTGATTGTGAATCTTTTCTGTTTGTGGCCTTTTGGAAGATATGGTATAATTCTAAATTTTTTTTGCCAGCTAAATTCTCCCCTTTTGGACCTTTTCATAGATTTTCAGAGCTTTACCTCTTTGCTTCTTTCTCTAAATTTCTTTCCTCACTTAATGAGTTCTACTCATCCTCAAGCCCAACTTATGTCCAAATATTTCATGAAAGCCTCTGCCTATTCTGTTCACACTAATATCTTCCTTTTCTAAATTCCTTTTTCATCAGGACCTCGCAATTTAACACTCTCAATTGATTCATGGAGGTTACTTTATCTTCCCCACCAGATTGTAAATTCTTGAGGACAAGAGTCTTATCTATTTTCTGTCTCCCAAAGGGAATATTATATATATATGCTTGTGGTGCTTTGAAGGGAAGCTGTGGCCATGGTATAGAAATGGAGGGAGAAGCCTTCTGTTCTTCTTCTTATTTTCTTCCTAGCTTTCTTTTCCCTTTGCTTTCAATTTTCCTTCTCTAAGCCAACAGATTTAGCCAAATTAGTGGCATTCAAGACTACAGTAAGCATTTTTAGTCTTTAATATCTTTTCTTGGCAAGGTTATAAATAGCTGTTTGAGCAAGGTGGAAGAAAAACTGGTACATACAAATGGGTAACAATTCCTTCATGCCAAACTACCTCTCTTTATCTTTGTCTCTTGTATAATTTCAAAATGCTTTTCTTTCCCTATAGGTTTAAGGGGAAGTTTCCCAAACTAAACTCTCCTGATAAATTGTTAATAAACTGGTCACTTCCTTACTGCAATAAATTACTGTTTTCTTAAGTGGTTTTGAGTAGTGAAATGTTAATCAAATTGGGCTAACTATAGAAAAATCTTACAAAATGGGAAGAAAGCTATTAAATGAGTTTTGCTACATGCATTTTATATATATATATAATATATATATAATATATATATAATATATATAATATATATATATATAGTCTGTCCAGGAGGTACCCAGCCATGTAATATGAAAAATAGATACCTTTATTGAAGAAGATACAACATATAACAAACATTGAACGTAGAACAATGACCTTCAGTCCCCTTCAAAGTAGGCACCTTAGGACCTCATATATTTCTCCCAATCACCGTCAGCAGCCCTGTCATATTTTTCTGAATCTCATCAATGGTCTGAAATCTCTCCCCTGTCAAAGGTGATTTTAGTTTTAGGAAAAAACAGAAGTCGCAGGGTGCAAAATCTGGGCTGTAGGGGTGTGAGTCACCTGGGCAATTTGATGTTTCACCAAAAAGTTTATGAGATGTGATGCATGAGTGGGCATGTTGTTGTGATGAAGCTGCCAATCACCAGTTGCCCATAGCTGCAGCCTTCTGAATCATCTGCATAGTTTCCATGGAGGAATGTTCAAGTGTAATGCAAAATTTGATGCAGATTCGTTGCTCTACTTGCTCAGTCATTTTGAACGTGGCTGCCATACAGTACACGTGCTCACTTAATGTCATCTACCACCCCCACTGATTAGTACAGTGAAGTCATCGTTGTTCACGCAGGCACATGCTAATCACTCTCCTTGGCTGCTAGGCTACATTGATGTTGTGCAAACCATTCTCATTATATTAACAATGGCAGGACTTCTTCTGGACACACACACACACACACACACACACACACACACACCCTTATTCCTTATTGTATAAATTCTGAGCTATCATTATGACCCAGAAGAAATATTTTAAATGCTTCCCTATAGCAGTGATCTGTAACCTCTCTGTGTTCATGACACAATTTTGAGTAGTAGAAAACTTGGTTGCATATTTGAGAGTATTTAAAGACTCAAAAGGACTCCAAATAAGTCAGCAATAATTACAGTATATCTATGGTATAACAGTGTTCTTTGTGCCTGAAAGTATCCATGGGGTTACACTATGTTATGGTTGCTATTAACATCAAGTCATTAATAGAACTATTTACTTTACTGATCTAATTCGTTTATATACTCACAAAACAACATTCTCATATAAACACAGTCTTTCTTTGGCATTTATATGATATTGTGCCATGTTTCTTGACTCATATCCATAGAAGTATATCCTCCCCTAAATAAAACTACACAAACGATAATAATATTAATATTTACCTGAAGTAAAAATACACTTTACACATGGATTAAAATTTGTAGCATACCTCTGAAGAGTCTGTCATGGTACAATTGAAAACCTATGTCTTAAATAAAGTGTGCTTAACCAGTCCAGGACCCCTGTGGATACCAAAATCTGCAGATGTTCAAGTTCTTCATATAAAGTGGTGTGGTATTTGCATATAACCTATGCACATTCTCCTGTAAACTTTAAATCATTTGTAGATGACTTACAGTACCTAATACAATGTAAGTGCTATGTAAATAATTGTTATACTGTATTGTTTAGAGAATAATGGCAAGGAAAAAATGTCTGTACTGGTCAGTACAGATGCAGCCATTGTAGTCCTGATTACATAGTGAACGTCAGCAACCACGTAACATATTTTTTCCCAAATATTTTTGATGTGTGGTTTGTTGAATCTACAGATGTAGAACTCGCAGATGCAGAGGGAAGACTGTACTCACAAAGCAGCCTTCTGCACTTGGTTTGATTTTTCAAGTAGACCATCTTGCTGTAAAAATATTTTTTCTTTTTTAAAATTAACTCCATTATAAGTCAGTCTTCTTTGAGTTTAAGCAGATGAGCTAATTCCCCTAGGACCTAGTCACTTGTGATTAATGAGATACCAAATCTTGTAACAGAGAAAAGTATCAAGAACATTGAGACTGTTTCTGATCAATCTAATACCCTCATTCCCACATTGTCAAGGAACAAATAGTGAAACAGATGAATAAAGGGTACTTTTTGTGTTCTGACTTAAACTCATAGGTTTTGCCTGTCATTAGCACCTCCTCCAGCTCTGTGAACATGCTACAGTGTATCTGGGCCAAATGTTTGCTTCAGCTATTAGACAATCATTTTAATTTAAATGGAGTACATCTCATTTGAGGAAGTTTGCCCTTTTTATTTCTAGCTTTTTTAATAGTGAGGAGAGCAGAGAGTGGTAGTACCTAGTTTTTAGTGCAGGATCAAAAAAACAAGACCTGAAATCGTAGATCCTAGTTCTTTTCTAATTTTTCCAGTTTTCCTGTTGCCATTTTAGTCTTCCCTGAATTACTGCAGTAGCCTCTTAATTGCTCTCATAGTTTCCACTTCTTCCCTTATACCTCTTAAAATAGCCATGGTAATCCTTAAAGATGCAAATCACTGCCATGTTTAAAACCCTTCAATGGACTCTGGTTTACTTGGAATAAAATCTAAACCATTTACTGTGACCATGAAGGTTCCCAAACCTTCTCTACAACCTCATCCCCTCTACTCTCCCCTTTGCTCACTCACTGCCAGCCTCTCAGCCTTGTCTCTGACCCTGAAAGAGGCTTTCTTTCCTAGTTTAGAGCCTCTGTATTTCTGTTACCTCTGCCTGGGACAGCCCATCTCCCCCAGATTTGCACATGACTGACCCCTCTTGTTACTGAGCCTCAGCTCAAATATGACCTCTTTAGCAAGGACTTTCCAAACTATATCAGCACCTCTCTTCGTCTGTACTCTCTGCACAGCTTCATAAGGTTCACAGCACTTATTAACTGTCATTAACACCTCCTCCAGCTCTGAAATTATTTTATTTGTTTACTTAGTTATTGACTGTCTCTTTCACAAGGCTCTATATTCCAGAAAAACTGGGACCTTTCTGTCATGTTCACCACTGTGACTTCAGTGCCTGACACAAAATTCAGTAAATATCTGTTACAGGATTTTTCAACTGGTTCTACTCTCAATTTACCTATGTTGAGTCACATACTTGACTCTGTGCCTTAGTTTTTCCAGCTTTAAAATGGTAACAGTAGTACTTGCCATCTTACTCATTTTTAGCATGGAGGAGAAAAATTGTTATCTCTATATCTGCAAATGTTCCTCTGAACAATGTAATGTTGTAAGTAGGAAGTATACTAGATATGCAATGAAAATATTTCTTATCTATTATCGGATAAGATTCTGGATTTCTTTTTTACTATATTTTTATTTTTCATTTATAGTTTACATTCAATATTATTTTGTATTAGTTTCAGGTGTACAGCATTGTGGTTAGATAATCATGTACTTTACAAAGTGTTCCCTCCAATATTTCTAGTACCCACCTGGCACTGTACATAGTTATTATGGTATTATTGGCTATATTTCATATGTTGTACTTTACATCCCCATGACTGTTTTGTAACTCCTAATCTGTACTTCTCAAAGGCTTTCTTTTTTAAAATAATTTCCTTTTCTATTTCTCTCACTGTCTCTAGAAAGTGACTGAGATATACCAGTTCAAGTTCAAATATACAAATGAAGGCGCCTCTATGGATTTTGACAGGTAGACTCTAATTGTTCAATAAACATGAGAAATATATATGATTGAGGTAAACATAAACCTCTTGAGGCCAGAGATAGGCCTTATACTTCCTTTGTAACTTTCCCAACAATCCTACAAAAACTGTTAAAAAAAGGATTGTAATAATTGTTTAAATTTCTGGTGGGAATAAGGACTTCCTTTGCTTCTTTCTTCTTTTTCTCATAGGTATGTTAGTAAGGCCTAAAGGCAGTTACATTTAGTGGTTTACAAGTTCCAATTCCTAAGGCAGAAAGACCTAGCTTGGGACCCCAGCTCTGACTATTACTGGTTATATAAGTTTGGACAAATTACTCAACCTCCCTAAATATTAGCATTTTCATCTGAACAGTAGAGTTAATAATATCTACTTCTTATGGTTACTGTGATTATTAAGTTATAATGCATATATAATGCTTTGCTCATGCCTGACACATAATAAACACTCAGTAAATAGTACCTAGTAGTGGTGGTAATGGTGGTGGCCCTTGAAGGCAATGATGGTTGCTAGGCAGCACAGCAGATGAGATTATATTAATGAGGCTGTCCACATGGTGTTGATTGAAGAACATAGGCTCTAGCCACTAAACCAAAATTTCTCTATTGCTATGCCAAAATATAGATCCTCTCTGCCCTCAGTATAGCCAGGCTAAAGCTGGGGTAGATGAAACCCCTGAAATATTTGCTTTATAGACACAATCATTCTCATCTGCTTACCTCAGTATGTCATACAAATATAACTTTCTATGTGTGTCCAGGTATGGAAATGACTGGAAAGCATTGGACTTTTCTATCAAGTCTAAAATTCCAAGTTTTAGATATACTAATGGGTTAAACAGCAAAGACGGGACACTTGCTTCAGAAGGTCCTTAGTGCAGATGGAGATGTTTCATTGAGGAACGACATTCATTTTCTTCCCGTGAGCTTTTGGGTTCAGAGAGAGCTAAATATTGCTATTGAGATGGAATAGAAGTGGAGGGGGTGAATGGTGAGAAGTGCTTTGTAATGGAAGGCTCCATGTCAGGGGGATGCCCTTCCCTGAAAGGAATGACTCTGAAGAGAAATGTGGCCCCAGTCTCAATTTTCCGTACTATTAGCTTTGTTTTATCATTTACTTCAAGTTTGAGGATTTCTCTCCAAGATTTACTTCCTTAATCATTTTCTTATTTGTAAAACTTACAAATGGCACTAGGATGTAAAGAGGAAGTTCTAGGAATGAGAATTAAAACATTAACCATCATTAGCTAACATTTGTGTAGCACTTTACAGATTGTTCAGCATTTTTAATACATAAAACAGTTTCCCCATTGTTCTCTAAAATTCAAATATAAGTACTACTGACAACCAGGGTAATGTCTCTTGTTATGAAGGCATATATGTCCAAAGGTAAGCAGTAAAACAAATGGCCAAATCTTGCAGCTACTAAGAAGGGGAGAAGATGATACATATTACTAATTTCCTAGAAACCAAAGGTAGACATATGTTTAGATGATCATCATATAAAATTACCTCATCACCTCCTCCATGGTAAAGATAATTTCCCTTTTAAAAGAGTGCAAGGGGGTCTTGAATATTATTTTACATAAATATTATATGTACTGAAGGATTCCACAGGCTACATGGCTATGTCTGGTTACCTATTTCAAATTGGTTAAATCCGGGTAGACAAAACTTAAGGTTGTTCAAAACTGAAATAGGAACAAATTTATTTACTTAATAATGTTTGTTTTATGAATTTACACTGCCTCCAATAGTTATTAATTACTTAGGATTATTTACATAATATCCCAGTATTGAGTGCTTATTATGTGAAAGGCATTATGCAAATATATTATAGTCATACTTCTTCCTGGGAACTACTTAAATGTGAGACTAATTGAAGAAGAAAATATTGGAAAAAAAAGAAAGAATGTTTATAGAGTTGGAAGGTAACTTAGTCTAAATTGTTCATTCATTCCTTAACTCAGCAAATGTTTATTGTGTACCTACTGGCTAGGCGCCTAACTTAGTCTGTGGAAATGAAAGGTATAGCCATTCATAGTCTAGAGGGGGACATACAAACAGTTATAAACAAGGGTGAGGTATGGGGTTGTCAGGGAAGACATTCTTGACAAGGTGACACATGAGCTATGTATTAAAGAATGCATTTGGGAGAGACAAGAAGAGAAGTGGAAAAAGCACAATAAAGCAAAGAGTAAATGCACATGGATTAGAAGTAACTGGGTAGCAAGTGCACGTGAAGGTGGAGGTAAGGGCATGGCTGATCATGAAAGACATTGTTCAAGTGCCATTATCAAACTTGATTGAAAAGTGATGGATGTAATAGAAGAATTTTAAGCAAGAGAGTGACACGAGCAGTTTTTCCTATTAGGAATATTATTTCGGCAGTGGTATAGGGAATGTTTTTCTGTGTGGACAAGAAAAAAACAGGAAGAGTAGTCATTGCCATAACCCATATAAGAGTGAAGAGGAAAAACTTCTTGGAGATAACCAGATGACAAAAAGTCCCAGAGCTGATGATTGATTTTATACCTGAAGAGGTTTAGAAATATGTGTAAGCTTATCTTACAAATGAGCTAACTGACCTAGAATGTCTAAGTGACTTGACTGAGGTAATTCAGCTAGTTAGCAGAACCAATATTAAATGTCAAATCTCCTAATTCTACATCCATTTTTTATCACCATTATAGCATGTGATTACTGGTAATCAGATTTTCGAAATTCAGGTCCTATTGAAAATACTTCAAGGGAACTCACTATGTAAGAAGTCCTTTGTATATACATTGCAAAAAGTATAATCTTGAATTTACATTCTAAAAATAGTCTCAAAAGTGTCCTGATGTTTAATTTATATTTATTTGATCATATAATAAAAAGTGTTGGCACTGACCAATGTGGCTTAGTTGGTTGGGCATCATCCTACAAAGTGAAAGATCACTGTTTTGATTCCTGGTTCAGGGCACATGCCTGGGTTGAGGGTTTGGTCCCCAGTCTGGGTGCATACAGGGGCAACTGATTAATGTTTCTCTCACATATCAAAGTTTCTCTCCCTTTCTTTCTCCCTCCCTTCCCCTCTTTCTAAATATATATATATTTTCAATATTGTATATGATAGAAAAGCATGCTGTTTTTCTATGTGGTTATAGCAGTAATACAAGCTTTGAAAGTGGGACAAAGAGTGAAGATATTAAGAAGGCCAGTACTTTGCTGATCCGTAAGTTGTATATGCTGATGCAGAACCTTGGACCCCTTCCTAATGATGTTATACTTACTATGAAACTCCACTACTATAATGCAGGTAGGTGGAGACCTCTAATCAAATTCCTTCTTAAGTGTTGAAGTAATATTTTATATAAATAGAAGGATTTTTCCAAGCATCAGAAAAAGATGTCTGTTGCTACACGTGAAAGATTAATCTGATTTGTTCTGTTGAAACCAAGTTTTCTTGGTTTTCTGCCCTTTTTATTTTGCAGTGACCCCAAATGATTACCAGCCCCCTGGTTTTAAGGAAGGGGTAAACTCACACTTACTGCTTTTTGAGGGGGAACCTGTAAACCTGCAAGTGGGAATGGTCTCAACTGGCTTTCACAGCATGAAAGTTAAAGTCACAACTGAGGCCACCAGAGTGTCCGATTTGGAGAATAATCTCTTCCAGGAGAATAGCACCACCGAGATTGCTCATCAAGGTCTAGACTGCGATGAGGAAGAGGAAGAATGCAGCAATCATGTAAGGCAAAGCTTTAGTGAGCCTCTGTTGCTTCCGTTAAACACAGTTGACATTTTTCAGTTGCTATACAGGTCTTGTCGCAGCAACAGGGTCTAATGGAGTGTGCCAGGTACAAAAACTGAAACAAAACTACCCCCTAACCTTAAGGAGTATTTATCCTAAAAGAGTATTGTCTTTGTTAGATAAAATTGGCCCTGACTATGAGAAGAAAAAGACTTCCTAATATACTTCTTTTATAAAATATACTCATGAATTTAGAAAATTTTGGATTTTCTTTCTTTTATTTATAAGTAATAAACATACTCAAAAGAATCTTGAGGCTTTACTGGAAATAAATGATAGAGATTTGTTCAAGGGTCTTAGAATTTGCAAGCTAAAAACACAGCTAGGCAAAAACCTAGAAATGTTCCAAAGAGAAGGAAAAGTTAAAAATTGTAATGGCAAAAAGTACATTCTTGAGAATTATCAGTCCTTCATTTTTAGCCCTAGAACTGATCCAGGGTAGTTATCAGTCAGATGACAGGTAGTTAGGATGTTGGATGCCAGGTGGCACAGAAGATGGGTGCAAGGAGGTCTGGTCACATACCAGTGGTCTAGATATGGGTATCAGGTGTATGTATACGTGAGTCTGTTAAGGGGTAATCAGGTGGCCTTGATATGTGTGTCCTTCAGGGAGTAATTAGAGCGTTACCTGGTCCAGATGTATATCCAGGCATTGACACAGGGCTGGAAAGTTGATGAAGTTAATGTATATCTAGGCATTTACTCAGGATTGGGAAGTTCAAAAAAATTTAAGTTTCCAGGGTAGTTATAAAAAGAAGTGTCTTTTTTCATGCCTCACCTTTCATAATGTTAATAATTTTAGCAGCTTGGTTAAAGTGACTCCATTTTATATATTTCCTGTCTTCCCCCTGTCTTCAGTATTTTGGGAATAAAAAAATGTTCTAGGTGTTTATTTATATTCACTGGAAGTATAAATAAGTTCTTGATTACTGGGGTAATTGGGCGGGAGGGGGTTGGGAGAGACAAAAGTTATGGATATACTAAAGTCAGAGTGAAGACAAAATGAGAGTCAATTCTTGGTTACGTGGATAGAGACAAGCTTTGGGTCTAGGTCCCCATGGAAAGCTAGGGGACTGGGTAGGAGCCACTGGAACCAAACAGGCAGGTCTCTGAGCCCTTTACCTTCCTGCTTTCTCCAGGAGAGGCTTGGAGTTGAGTACTTGCTAGGGCCCCACTGTGTTCTAGGTAAATTCACACTCTGTTGTCTGGATAAAAAAGTTTGCTGGATGACAACATTGTATTAAAGGGGTTCTGAGACATAAAGAATTTTCAGATACCTAGTAGAAAGAGATGCTATAAAATCTTTTTAAGGGCTATTTTAAAGTTAGGATGCTAATTTGCTTGAGATAGTTTGAGTCCTACTTAAAGATAGATGTCTATAGTAGGTAAACTTTGAAGTTTCCTGCTGATTCTTTAACTCTGTATGATGTTTATTACATTGAAAAGAGTGTTAATTTAATTAATAAAAAACCAAACAACAGGATTTTTTTTTCATTTTTAGTAAGTATTTTCACAATGTCACACATGATAATGGCTTTAAAGTTTGATACAACTTTCTTCTGATTCTACTCAAGGAAGATATAGCTAACTAACATAGATTAGTTAAAAAAAAATAAAGGTTAAGAAGAGAATGAGCATGTATCATATGGATTTTTATCTTTTAAAGTTGAGAATTTTTTTTTTTTTACTGACTGAAATGAGAGCAGGACAACTTGAGAATGAATAATTCAATTGATAGATTAAATAAGACATGCGATGACACTTTTTAAGCATACATTTAGTAGGAACCATATAAAGTTGAGCTTTGAACAACGTGGGTTTGAACTGTGCTGGTCTACTTACATGCAGATTTTTTTTTTTTCCAGTAAATGCTTATACTGTTTTTGATCCAGGCTTGGGAGTCCAGAGATGCAGAGAGCCAGCCTTAAGTGTTAATCTACACCATTTTATATAGGGGATTTGAACATCTGTGGATGTTGGTATCTATGAGAAGGGGGGACCTGGAATGAATCCCCCATAGATACTGAGGGACAACTTAAGTTTTGAGTGAGTTAAAGAAGAACTCAGAGGCATGGACAACAGTGTAGTAATTGCAGGGGGGAGGGGAGTATAAGCAGACTAAATGATAAGGAAAAAAATACAATGAAACATTAAAAAATAAGTTTTGAGTTAGTTAAAAGTTATACTCAGATTTTCAATTATGTGGGTGTTGGCACCCTTGACCACTACGTTGTTCAAGGGTCAACTATATACAAAGATCAGGACTTTGTAGTAAACTCTGTCCGTTCAAGTTCATCTCTCAACTCTCCAATCACATGAAAGAATGATTTAGTAAGCCTAGTGAAGTTTTCTGATGTTTTCCCACTAAAAATTCTGTTGTTCCTTCATGGAATACACATACATATACACATTCATATGTACAACCCTTTATTATTTAAAAACTATTTTGAAATATATCAGGCATACAGTAGAATATATAGAAACAGTATGTACCATATAAAGAATAATGAGAACATCCATATAACCTCCATTCAGGCTGAGAAGTACCTGTCATTGTTACTAGCTTAGAAGCCACCATATGACCGTTCCTTATTGCACCCCCTCCTTCTCCTCTAAGGTAACACTCTACTAAATTCTATGACAACCCTTCCCTTACTCTTCTTTATGGTTTTACCACCTGTGAGTATATCTGTTTGTCTACAATTTTTATACAAATGTAATCATACTTTAGGTATTCTCTGATTTGCTTGACCATCAAAAATGAGATTTGTCCATTTATATTGGTTGTTCATTCATTTTCACTGCTGTAGAATATTCTATCTACTCATAATATATATTGTTTCTTTTTAATTGCTATAAACATTCATGTACACACCTCAGGGTATACATGTGCAAGAGTATCTCGAGAAAATATATCGAAGAGTCCTAGAGCTTGCACATTTTCAACTTTATTAAGTAATGCAAAACTATTTTCCAAAGTAATATCAACTGATACTCCACCAACAGTTGGAGGAGAATACCCTACATTCTTGTGAATACTTAACATTATCAGAGTTTATTTTTCTACCTGTCAGCTGGATATAATATAATAATGTCACACAGTTTTGATTTGTATTTTCCTGCTAGTTACTGAGTTTGAGCATCTTCTCATATGTATTGGCCATTCTGATTTTCTTCAAGTCTTCCATGCATCTTTCTATTGGGTTATTTATCTTTTCTTCATTGATTTTAAACATACATTCTGCATAATAATTCTTTTTTGTGGCTTAAAATAACACAAATTTATTATTTTATAGTTCTGTAGGTCTGAAGTTTGATACGGGCTCACCAGGCTAAAATCAATATTCTGGCAGGCTGTGTTTCTTTTGGGAGCTTGTAAGGGAGAATCCATTTCTTGCTCATTTGGGTTGATTGGCAGAATTCAGCTCCTTGCAGCTGTATACTGAGGTCCATGTTTGCTGGCTGGCTGTAAACTGCCGATCACTCCCAGCATCTAGCAGGGGTGTCCAACCTGCAGCCCATGGGCCACATGTGGCTTAGGATGTCTATGCGGCCCAACACAAAACTGTAAATTTACTTAAAATACTATGAGTTTTTTTGTGTGTGTGATTCTGTATTGCAATGTATTTAATGTGTAGCCCAAGACAACTCTCCTTCCAGTGTGACCCAGAGGTGCCCAAAGGTTGGACACCCCTTATAGAGGCTGCTGCTTTCCCCAGCTCATGGTCTCCCTCCTTCATCTTCAAAGCCATCAGTGATGGTTGAATCCTTCTCACATCATATCTCTCTGACGTGCATAATTAATCTTTCTTACTTATTCATGTCACTACTTTTTTTTCAAGTTTGTGGCTTAACTTTCAATTTTAAGATGCATTTTGCTAAAGGGTTTTTAATTTTAATGTAGTCAAATCTTTTCCTGTAATATTTACTTTTGAATATTCTTAAGAAATCTTCTTTACCTGAGGTCATTTATAATATTCTCCTATATTTTATTCTAAAAGTTTTTTATTTTTACATTTAGGTTTTATTCCATCTGGAGTTTATTTTCATTTGTGGTGTGAGGTAGACCAGACTCCTTAACACTTTTTAATCCAAGTATAATATATATACAGAAAAACACATCATAATGATATGGCTCAATAAATATTTACAAAATGAACACCAGGGCTGATGTGAGGGCGAGGCAAACAAGGTGAGAGTGAGTGCCTCCTCAAATTTTCTCCCTAGGTATCTTGTTTGCCTCACCCTTGCCACAGCCCTACGAAGTAAACATGTTAAATCAACACCTAGATTAAGAAACAAAATACTACCAGTCCCCTCCCCCCCCACAGAAAACCCGGTCTTACTTTATAGTGACTGTCCCACTCAACAAAAATATCTGTATTCTGATTTCTATTTGCATATATTAATTTCTCTTGTTTTTATTTTACAGATGTAGAATCACACAGTATGAACCATTTTTTCACTCAGCACTTTGTTGTGCTCTGTATCTATAGTTTTGCTTATTGTTGTAGGCCATACTCACTATCTATCTAGTCTTCATGGGCATTGGGGCAATTTCCTATTTTTGACTCTTATGAATAGTATTTCTCTGAACATTCTGAATATGTTTGTTAGTACACATTTTTGGTAGGAATAGAATTGCTTAGGAGCAGAATTTCTGGGTCAAAGGATATGTGTACATTTAGCTTTTAATAGATACTACAAAACAATTTCCAGTGTGGTTGTGCCAATTTACACTTCCATCAGCAATATATGAGAGTTGTGGTTGCTCCACATCCTCACCAACCTTTGGCATTTTCCATCTTTTTAATTTTAGCTATTCTGGTGGGTGTGTAGTAGTATGTCATTGTAGTTTTAATTTGCATTTCCCTGAATGACTAATGAATTGAACATTTTTTCATATGTTATTTGGCCATGTTGGATATCCTCTTTTG